GGATCATTCTTAGCACCCCAGTTTCTCCAGGCTCTTTATCTAGCATTTTCCTGGTTCTGTACCTTCATCCCAACTCTTTTATATTTGGGAAACTACCAAGAGCTCCAAGGACAACCTGAGAATGACAGCCCAGGCTCTGAGGTCCCCTCTGGCTCAAGGGCCCCAGACAGATACTTTTGGGTAAACCTGAAGTTTCTCAGACATAGCAGCTCATAAAAATCTTCACCTGTTCCATCTGAGGATTTCAGTTTTATAGTGATCTAGGCATGTTTGGTAGAGATGTTTCTGTGGGAGTTTTTTTTTTTTTTTCTTTTAAGAAAGAAAGCATTATGCAAAGAGGGTCACTTTTAAGGGCATTTTAAATTTTTTAAATAAAGCCATTCTTTGGCTCTTTTTGACAACTATTTGTGGATACTTTGTTTACATTGTAATAATTAAAACATGCATCCTCTTGACAACCACTGGGTCCCCTCCTCCAGGCACCCGCCCTGGCTGTCCTGCGGAGTCCTCACGCAGAGCAAGGCTGTGGTGGTCAGCCCTTACCCGAGGGGAGCTGGGGAGGACCTGGACCTGACTTCCATCTGTGTCCTGCACTCCCATTCAACACTCTGTGTGGAAATAGCCCTTTCCTCAGTCAATGATGGTGTGTCTTACAGTGATGGTTATAACGGTGAATGGCTAGTGTCATTTTTGTCTAAAGCTTGTTTTGCTTTTTGATGGTAGATGAAATTTTAGCTCTTTCCGCACCAGTCCAACTTGAAAGGTATCTTGGACTTTGTTTTCCCTTCCAGACTAAAAGGTCAAGGCATGTATCAGGCATAAATGTATTTGCTGCCTCAACTCATCTGACACCCATATTAGGAAAAAGCCTGCCACCAAAGCGGGAAGCTGCACACTCCTAACCCCTGTCCCAGGGCTTTGGGGTCCCTTGATGCCATGGAGAGCTATTGCAAGGTGCTTGTGTACTTTTACAGCCTGGAAGTGGAGGGTGACCGGGCCTGGCTCCTGCTATGAAAAAACCAGCCTCATGTTCTCAGTGCCCCCGAGATCTAGGACAGAATTTCTGAACTGGAATCGCCCCGCGTCGGCTGGAAGCTGCCTCCGAGGGTATATGACTAGTGCTGCCGTCTGGGTCCTCACAGCAACACTGGTGGCAGCGTCCTCTGTACACGCAGAGCTAATACCCAGGGCTCCATTCCAGCTGATGACCCAAGCTGGAAGCTGGGGAACTGGCCCTGAAATGATTTTCAGTCAACAGGCCCACAGGGGATTGTTTGGTTTTTGTGGGTTGGGTTTGGTTTTGTTTTGTTTTGTTTGGATTTTGGTTTGCCTGGCATAGCTTAAGGTGCCTTTTATTTTTTTTCTTTCTACTTTATTTTGTAGGACTTGTTCTAAATGTAGAAAACAACCCCAAAAGACTCTCCCACTGACTGTTAACCTTTGCCCCAGGCCAGTCCAAACTTTTATGCTCACATTTTATTAAAGCAGGTGCTCCCTGGAATCTCTGGGACCTTTTTGAGGCATTTGAAGCAGAATATAAAGAGTGGTCTCATCTCCTTCCTTAATCTTCCTGGTGGTTGGGATGTTCCACTTGTATCATAGATTTTTTTTTATTACTGATGTGCTCTGCTGTTTTTAAATGTGAACTTGTGTGCAAATGTGCAGATTCAATGTTCTTGTTACAGATTAAATAAATTTTTATTTTGAAGATGACATGTGTATTTCATCAAATGCAAAAAAAAGGGGGGGAGGCGGTGCTAGAGAAGGTGGAGGGATTGGGAGAGAACACTGGTGAGCAGTAGGGCACATGGAGCAATTCTTGCTCTCCATCAGGCATGTCCTTAAGAGTTAGCTGAGCTCTGGGGGAAAAAATACAGCTTTCTACCTCCTACAAAATAAGGACTGGATAGAATCACCAAAGATTATTTCAGACTTTGTGGCTCCAATCAAGTGACCAAGCTGGGAACTTGCCTGGTCAAAGAAGACCTTGCCAAAGCCACCACCTGAATGTTAGGAGAATGAATAAGCAAAGGGACCAAAATTTCTCTGCCACGTGTGGTACAGACTGCTCTGGGACACAGCTGCTGTGACCTGCCCCAGCAGGGACTAGATTTCTTGGGTCACTGACCTCTGGACAGTAGTGAGATGGAACTCACAAACTTTCACCTCAGCTCACTGAGTGATTTCTGGAAATGGGGCATGACTTTCTAAAGAAGTAAAAGCTTTTAACCATCTCCTGCCATTAGAAGAGAAGCACTGGATAATGGTTGAAGAAGGGAGATGGGGCTGACAGGCCATTCTCCAAAACAGGCTGGGTGTGGGAGGGAGCAGTTCTCCACTTCTCCCACTCCTCCATAGACCCATCATGAGCTGTGTAGTGGCACCATTCATCACTATTATCTAGGGAAAGCTCAGTTTCCAAAGTGCTGGCAAAACAAAGTATTGATGTGTCTAGAGAAAACACTGCGTTGAACTAAAATTAAGTCGGCCCACTGCATTCTGAATTGTCCAAATCAAGTAGGAGAGACACATGACTGGTCTGGCTGGAGTACCAGAGTGCATGATGGTAAAGGCAAGGTCATTTCACAATGTTTTCTAGGGGTGCCCGGAGTCACTGACCTGTCTAGATAAGCTAAGTCTTTATAGCCAAAGCAAATCATGTCTAAGTTGCCAGGCCACCTCTTCCAGAAAATGACTTTATGAAAGACGAAATCCATGCCTGTCTTCTACGGATTGTAGTTCAGAGCCCAGCTAAGAGTTCAAAGGGTTAACCACACAGGAAAGCACCCTAGCCCAAGTGGCTTCTTCCCCTGATTAGTTCTTTATGCCTTGGCTCTGCCTGCCCACTCTCTGCCAAGCTTTGGCAGCCAGAAGAAAGCCCAGAGGGCAGACCTGAGAGGCATGCCTGGTCCAAGTGATACCTGTGAGTCCCTGCTTCTGTACCTGGAGAGCACCCCTCTTTTCAGATGATAGAACTGAAGGCAGGATGGATTAAAGGATTCCTACTTCCTAGTCTCAGACTCTTGCCTCTAGAATGGAGTCCTCTTTAAAGAGGAGGAAAGGAAAGGGGAAAGAAAAGGTCATTTCAAGGTAGGAGGCGGCGTGTCAAATCCCTTGTCTGCCAACAGGTGGTGCAGAGTTGGAAGGAACCTGACCCAGCCCTCTTCATTGTACAGCTCAGAGAACTGCAAAACTGGGGTGATTGAGTCAGGGCCAGAACTCCAGTTTTCTAATTATTCCAAGCATCCTTTCCTTTGTGCCATAAAAACTAACCCTCAGTATCAGCATTGATGAGATAAAGTGGCACTATTCTTCAAGAGGAAACAAAAATGCATGGTGCTGAATAGCATGGACCCAGATGCCGGACCACTGGATAAAAGTTGCAGTTCCACCAACTACCAGTTGAGTGATGGGTAAACTACTTAATCTCTATGTGCCTTAGTTTCCTCACCTATAAAACAGGGATACTAAGAATAGCTATCACAGAAGGCTGTTATCAGAATGAACTTAATATGTGTAAAGTTGTGACCTATTGTTATTAAGGAGCCACTGAACAACTCAGCTCTTTCCCTCCTAATCACGTGCCTGGAATCTTTAGGTAAAAGGGAGAGTCATCTACCCTTATGGCCCTCTGTACCATGAATTATTTCTGGAGTACCTGTAAGTTTCTGATTCTGTTCCCCTACAAGCCACTGGATACTTGGACTCCTCTTGAGAAGGAGCCTTGGGTGGGCCATTGGGGTTCCCAAGCACCTTCCCTCCTCTTAACCCCCGATGCTAATCTCTGCCCTCCAGAAGGCTGTTCCATTGATTCCCAGGTGTGCCCTGGAGAATAGGAGGTAATAACTGGCCTCATGCTGCCTCCAGGGCCTTATGATCCAAAGCACGAAATCTAGGCAGTGGGTGGGTGCTGGATGTACAGCAGCTTCAGGGACTAGTTGTTCTTCACTGGCTGTATTTTGATCAGGTTTGTTTTTATTTTCTCCTTAACCTTGATCAATACTCAGATCCCTGGGTCCCAGGGGGAGTGGGGGGGGGAGCGGCTGGGACTTGTTTGGAACACAATTGTGCACCAATTTAAACAAGTCCCAGAAGAATTCATTAGGAATTAGGCTGGGCAACTAAAATTTGATTGCTGTGGCGCCCAAGTGGCTCAGCTGGTTAAGCGTCTGACTTCAGCACAAGTCATGATCTCAGGGTCCTGGGATGGAACCCTGCAACAGGCTCCCCTCTCAGTGGGGAGTCTGCTTCTCCCTCTGCCTCTCTGTCCCTCCCCCGTCCCCGCCCCCCCTCATGCTCGCGTTCTCTCTAAGTCTTTTTTAAAAATAAATAAAATTTGATTGCCAAAGGCCTGTGGCAGCTGCTTCTCCTTGAACCTGGTGTTCCCACGGGGTCAAGGTGGATTCATTCCCCCACCTAGTCTTTAGTCTGCTTTCTGCCCTGCTCCATGGAATCCTCTCTAACTTGATGAAATGCCTAGTTATAGTGCCAACGTTTTAGGTTCTCAAGTGGTCGCTATAGCCATTAATAACAATAAACGACATTCAGAGCCCCCTGTCGGGTACCCTCGAGCTGCCCTGGGCGAGTCTAGGCCCTCATCCAAGGGCTGGGGAGACTCCCTCGAAGCATCTTCCGGGACCTCTCCCCAGGAGGGTCTGGACGTGCAGTCCCGCAGCCTGGGGCCGCCGGCCTGGACAGGCTAATTTGGGAGTGCGTTTGCGGCAGGAATGCGGCGCGAAGGCACCTGATCTTGCGCGGCTGCCGGCTCTCCCTCTCCGCGCCCAGCCTGGGTCTGGGAACCTGGGTCTGCCCAGCCCACCCGGGAGGTACGGAGGGCGGGGAAGGAGTGCGCACAAGCCGCGCGTACACACTCAATTACTTTTGACAGTTTTCTGAGCCCGGCGGGCTGGCGGAGCGGAACCGGCCGCGCTCGACTTTCCCGCCGCTGGAGGGGCGGGGCAGCTCTGGCCCCGCCCCCAACGTAGGCCCCGCCCCCGCAGGTTGATGGCAGCGGCAGCTGGGACTGCAGCGACGCCGGGCCCCGGAGAGCCGCAAGCAGCGGCCCGAGCGCGCAGAGGAACACCCGGGCCCCAGACGCCGCGGACACCCGGAGAGGCAGTTCCGGCACCCTGACTCCCTCGGCCCCCAGGGCACCCCTAGCCCCCTCAGCAGAGGAGTCGCAGAGTGAGCGCCCCTCGGCCCACTCAGGACCAGGTACACCCCCCCCCACATCCCACGCCGCCACCGCAGCCGCCGCAGCGGGCGGGGTCTCTCGAGGGGGCAAAGATCTGCGCCCCATCCCCCACGCCGCCAAATTCGGTCCCGGGCGGGGCGGACTCGGTGTCTATATTTGGCCGGACAGCGGCCCGCGCGCCTTGCACGGCCCCGTCACCTCGTCTCCTAAGAACGCAGTGCGGGGGCAGGAGGCCGGAGGAGGGTGCGGGGAGGCCCGGGCCTCAGGCCTGGGGCCGCAGAAGCGGCGTGAAGGGCACAGGGATGCCCGGGGCTAGGGAGGGGCAGGAGTCGGTGGATAGGGCTTTGGAAAAGCTCGGTGAGTCCCCTGGGGAAGAGCATAGCACAGACCCTGGCTGAAGAAAAGGCACTTCACCCTCCCCACTCCTGCAAATCTGGCCCTCGCGGAGGGAGGGGGGACGGTGAGGACCCCACCCCAGGAGAGTTCAGCAGGAAAGGGGACCCATAGGAGAAGCCGGACCATGGTTAGGACCATGTGAAGAGAGGAGTGGAAAGAGGAGAGATCCACCTTACACTGCGTCCCCCAACAGGATGGGAGGAAATTGATGAAAACAGTAGCAGGACAGACTCGGTTAGCTGGCAGGAGGAACTTCTCCTTGGCAAAATTTTAGACAAAGACAAGAGCCCATCTGCCCGAACTATGTTAGAGATGCAGAGTTCGGGATCTTGGGGGGCTCCAGTCTTAGCCCCATAGCTGGCCTTGAGCCAAGATCCCAGGACCAAGGCCTCTGATTCTGGACAAGGTGCAGCTGGGAGAGAAACCATTTCCTGAAGAGATGCTCATCCAAGGCTGGCAGCAGGAGGGCAGCCTGGCATTGAGGCTCCTCCCCAAACCACTTCAACTTCCAGGAAGCTTTCAGGCGCAGTCAAACTCTGCTGTTCCCTGCATGGGTCTCAAAGGAGAAGTCAGGCCCCAAATCCTAGCCCCTTGAAATTTTAAGCAGCACTTCATAGGTGGCAAAGACCTTTCCCTTTGCCATTCTTTGATCACCTGGAAGAAAGCTCCCTGTTCTAGGACCTGACTCATAGCCAGATAACCCTTCTCACTTGCCACCCCCTCCCTGCTCTTCCTTCCTCCCACAGCTCACAGGACTAAGGACGAAAGGCACTCCTGGGCACTGAGATCCTCCATTTCTACCCACCGCCATGAGCCGGCGTGTGGTTCGGCAGAGCAAGTTCCGCCATGTGTTTGGGCAGGCGGCAAAGGCTGACCAGTCCTACGAGGACATCCGTGTGTCCAAGGTCACATGGGACAGCTCCTTCTGTGCCGTCAACCCCAAATTCCTGGCCATTATTGTGGAGGCTGGAGGTGGAGGTGCCTTCATTGTCCTGCCTCTGGCCAAGGTGAGGGATGAGGGGAAGAAAGCAGGTGGGAAGACACTGGCTGTGGCCGCTGGGGACCCCTCCTTCATTCAGGAGGGCTTTTTGTGTCCATTGGCGGCTCCCTGTTCCCTAAGCCCTTGGGGACCAAGTCGGAGGCTCCCTCACCCTGCCCAGACCAGTAGCAGCACGGTGGGCTGCACCCACGCATAGCCCGTCCCCTTCTCCAAGCAGCAGCCTCTTGCCAGCAGGGACCAGAAGGGTGTTATGGAGATAGTTATGGGAAGCAGGGGAGCCAGGGCCTGACCCAGATTCTGTTCCTGACTTGCCCAATGCCACGCCCCCTCATGATCTTTCTCCCCCAGTGCACGGTGACCATTTGATTAAATCACACCCCAGAGCAGCACACTGAGGAAAGGGTCAAGCTCTTTCCAAAGAGTCCTGGTCACCTCCCCACTATGGTTCTTACAGTGAGATAGAATGAGAACAAAGGGCAGGGGGACATCACACATAAGGCCAGAGCCCTCTCCACCCCAGGATAGGGGCCGGGCAGTTACCACCCCCTTTGCTGAGGAACCTCAAACCCCTTGGAAATCTCCACCCCCCAGGATGGCCACCTCAAGTCATGACCTTGATCTGGTCCCTACACCTTGCTAAGGGAGACCCCGCAGGTGGCAGGGTCAGGAAGAGGCCTGACAATAGCCAGTGACTCATTCCGGGACAATGCAGACATCGTCCAAGGACACCATCTCCGGGGCTCAAATTTCAACTGGAGCCACCTCCTCACCCAGTACAACGGCCATTCCAGTGCCACACGGCCACCCCTCTCCCCTACTGATGCCAGCCCCTGCGAACGTCTCAGAGCCCCCCCCATAAAAAGCCTGTAAAGACCAAAAGTAGGTGAGCCCCAGCTCAGGTTGGGGGACAGCAAGCACCAGGAGTGCCTGCTGCTGGTGGTTCCAAGGTCAAGCCAGTGACAAGGGAGAGATCTGCCAAGGGCGGCTGGGAAAGGGCTGTTGGCCACTGCATTGCATATTACCTCCCCTTGACCTCTTCTACCAGGGGCTTCCTATAGACAGTCTAGCTGGGGGACGGGCCCAACAACAGTCTCCTCCAAGGAGGTGTTTTTGCAAGAGCACTGGACTGAGAGTTCAGGTCTTGGCTCCACCGGTAGCTTGCTGTGTGTCCTTGGCTAAGCCATTACCTCTCTGAGTCTGATTCCCTGATATTAAATGGCTTCAACTCTGTCTGCCTCCAGTGGAGTACAGGAATAGTTGGATGGGGTTGGAGGTGCAGAAAGGGGTTCGCAAAGAGAAAAGAGGTGATAGAGTATTGAGATGTAAACAGGTCACTGCCCACCCCCCAAAAGCACACAGGAAAGTGACACTGGAGCTCCCTCTCTGACCCCTCCAGACAGGACGCGTGGATAAGAACTACCCACTGGTCACTGGGCACACTGCTCCTGTGCTGGACATCGACTGGTGCCCACACAATGACAACGTCATTGCCAGTGCCTCAGACGACACCACGGTCATGGTAGGAACCAGGTGGATGCTGCGGGGCAGCTGGGCAGGGGGAGGGGGGGAGGGCTGCCTCACCTGCGCTAGGGAAGGTGGTAAAAGAGGTGCTGGGTCCCAGGGCCCTGCCCTGCCCTGCCCAGCTCCCAGGCTATATTTAGCCACATGCCCACCCCCTCCCAGGATGCACTTCTTAGGACTAATTATAGCCATGGCCAACTTGAGGCCTGAAGAGCAAGGGGCAGTACTCTGCAGTCAGTCTCCTGGCTGGGGTGTCTAGAGAGGTCCCTGGAGAGCGGGCAGTGTCCCTCCTGGCTCCCAGCTGCTTCTGCCCTGGGCAGGCATCATTACATCTTGCCCTGCATTTGACCCTTACCACTCAAGAGAGCCAGTAGGGGTGGGGGTGGAGGGCAAAGTTGGGGAGGCGTAGAGGGACAAAGCAGTCTCCTCATCACCCCGACCCTACGCCTTTTCTCCCCTCCCAGGTGTGGCAGATTCCAGACTACACCCCTATGCGCAACATTACGGAACCCATCCTGACACTTGAGGGCCACTCCAAACGTGTGGGCATCCTCTGCTGGCACCCCACTGCCCGGAATGTCCTGCTCAGTGCAGGTCTGGGGGCAGAGGGAGGGGTCCCTCCTGTAGATGGGGCCGCGTGGGGGGTGGGGGCAAAGGCAGGACCCAAGTAACGGTGACGGGCTGCTCCGGGCAGGTGGTGACAATGTGATCCTCATCTGGAATGTGGGCACTGGGGAGGTGCTCCTGAGTCTAGACGACATGCACCCGGACGTCATCCACAGCGTGTGTTGGAACAGCAACGGTAGCCGGCTAGCCACCACCTGCAAGGACAAGACCCTGCGCATTATCGACCCCCGCAAGGGCGAGGTGGTGGCGGTGAGTGGCTGGCTTGGCCATCCCCCAGCCCCTACCCTAGGGACCAACTGTCAGGCCCCTGTGCCCTTAATCCTCTGAGTCCCTAGTGCCGGCTCTCGCCTCCCCCACCCCAACCTGAGGCAGTCCCGCCCTTCCCCCTCCCCCCCCCCAGATGCCGGGGAAAGGTTCCCTCCGTTCCCCGGCATCTGAGAAGCTCCGAGCAGTGCTCTTCGAGTTGTAATTGAGCAGGGGAGACGCTGCAAGCTCTGTCCTTCCACCAGAACCTGCATGACACATCCCGGACCCCTCTCCTCTCGGCCGGCACCCAGCGCCATCTTCCAGGGTCTGGGGCCCGACACTGGCTCTCCGGCGGGCCCCTTTCTGCCCGAGTCGACCCGCTGGGCGAAGAGGGGGTGGGGAGAGGGGGCCACCCCCGCGCCTTGTTAGTCCTAGCTCGGTGCCCCGGGAGGGCGGCGGCACCCGCGTCGGCAGCCTGACTCGGACGCGGGGTGCGGGGGCGCGGGGCACGTGCATGTCTGCGCCGTGTGCGCGCGGCGGGCGCTCTAACCCACTAACCCCGCGAGCAGGAGCGAGCCCGGCCTCACGAGGGCGCCCGCCCGCTGCGGGCCGTCTTCACTGCGGACGGGAAGCTGCTCAGCACCGGCTTCAGCAGGATGAGTGAGCGGCAAGTCGCGCTCTGGGACCCGGTAGGCCAGGCCGCGCTGGCCGCGCGCGCTCGCTCCTTCGCTGGCCCAGCCCGGAGCGCCCTCCCAGGCCGTGGCCGGTGCCCGAGAAGGCGGAAGCGGAGCGGGGAGCTCCCGTCTGGGAAAAGCCTCGCTGCGACCCCGGGGAGCCGGCCGACTTCCCCTGCTCTAGGGATCAGCCTCTGAGGGCGCTTCAGGGCTCGGGACCTGCCGAGAGGCGCGCGCCTCCCGCTCTCTCCGGGCGCAGACGCTCTCCAGGCCTGGGGCCAAACCGGGTCCCCCCACGCCCCCCCCGGAAGCTGAGTAGTTAGGCCCCCTTTTGTCTCCAACCCCCCCCGCTCCCCCACCCCCACCCGCCTCTCTCCCCCGCCAAAGTCAGCAAGCTGGTTGCTCGTCCCTCCAGGCTCCCTAGGGCAGGCAGCTGGATGACGCCTCTCCCTGTCTCCCCCTCCCCCCAGGAGAGGTTTGCGGCCCACGAGGGAATGAGGCCCATGCGGGCCGTCTTCACGCGCCAGGGTCATATCTTCACCACGGGCTTCACCCGCATGAGCCAGCGAGAGCTGGGCCTGTGGGACCCGGTAACGCAGCTGGAAGCTTGGGGTGTGTGCCCCGGGGACTGGCATCACGGGAGAGGGGCCAGGCGCCCCCCCCCCGCAGGGCATGCCCACCTGGACTGGGCTGGAGGCTGCTGCCCCCTTTGCAGCGCCCGCCATCCCCACACCCACCCCTCTGCCCAGTTTTGCTGCGTCGCCTGAAGGAGCCCACGCCGGCACCCCCACCTGGTGATGCCGAGTCCCTGGGGGTGGTTTGCGGTGACTGCATGCGGCGGCGCAGGGGCTATTTGTGCGGGGCACTGGGGGTGATGGGCCCATGGGAGGGACCGGCGGCTCGGTTCACCAAAGCCGCCTTGGGAACGCACGGGGTTTGCAGCGGGTAGGAAGTGTAAAGGGGCTTCAGGGGATCCAGCAGTGGCACGGTGGCCGGGACAGGGCTGGTCACGCCTCCTGTGCTCGGGCAGAACAACTTCGAGGAGCCAGTGGCACTGCAGGAGATGGACACGAGCAACGGGGTCCTACTGCCCTTCTACGACCCGGACTCCAGCATCGTCTACCTTTGCGGCAAGGTGCTTGGGGCCGGCAGGGCAGTACAGGGGCTGGGTAGAGATGTCGAGGGCCCCGCCTGGGAGCGTCTCTGAAGCGACTGGTTTTGCAGGGCGACAGCAGCATTCGGTACTTTGAGATTACCGACGAACCACCTTTCGTGCATTACCTGAACACGTTCAGCAGCAAGGAACCTCAGAGAGGCATGGGTTTCATGCCCAAGCGGGGGCTGGACGTCAGCAAGTGTGAGATCGCCCGGTCAGCAGCCTTCGCCCTGCTCGCTTGCATGTCTGTCCCCACTTGCCATCGGGGAAGACACAGGGGCTTCTCGCCTCGTGTAATCTTTGGGAAGGAGTGAGGGTATTTTGTGGGGGGGGGGGGAAGGAGTGTAAAACAGGCTTGTTTCGGTGCCAGCCCCAGCGTTAACATTCTCTAAACTTCACTTTCCTCATCTGTCATCAAAACGATGATAAACACGCCATCAGAGATGTTTTACCAGTTGGACCAATAATGTGTTTTGAAGTGCAGTGCATGGTAGCGGCTCAGCAAGTGTTGGTCTCCAACCTATTGGTCCCAGGCAGAAAAGGGGGTGGGAGCCGGCGGGGGTGCTGAACCCCGCTCCCTCCCTTATAGGTTCTACAAGTTGCACGAAAGAAAATGTGAGCCCATCATCATGACTGTGCCCCGCAAGGTGAGGGGGCGCGGAGAGGGCTCCGAGGCGGAAGGCAACGGAGCAGGCCCGGCCCTCTGCGAACACTAGTCTTCCTGTCCCCCGAACCCCCGCAGTCAGACCTGTTCCAGGATGACCTATACCCAGATACTCCCGGCCCCGAGCCAGCCCTAGAAGCGGACGAGTGGCTGTCTGGCCAGGATGCCGAACCCCTGCTCATCTCGCTGAGGGACGGTTACGTGCCTCCGAAGCACCGCGAGCTCCGGGTCACCAAGCGCAATATTCTGGACGTGCGCCCTCCCGCCGGCCCCCGCCGCAGCCAGTCGGCCAGCGACGCCCCCTTGACGGTAAGATCCGGCTCCGCTCCACCCCGGCCCAGTCTACACATCCCCCACCCCACCCCCCTTCCTGACACAGCCTCTTCTGTCCTCCGCGCCCCAGCAGCAGCACACTCTGGAGACGCTGCTGGAGGAGATCAAGGCCCTTCGCGAGCAGGTGCAGGCCCAGGAGCAGCGCATCACGGCCCTGGAGAACATGCTGTGCGAGCTGGTGGACGGCACGGACTAGTGCGGCGCGCGGGGTGCAGCTCCGAGCCTGGGGGTGGGGGGAGGCGGGGGGCGAAGCCGGGCTGGGAGCAGGACTTGGCCCCGCCCCGGCCTTTGGTCCGGAGTGCCGGACCCCGCCTCTCCCGGCTGGGGCCGGGGGCGGGACTGGGAAGGGAACTCCTTGCCCTCGCGGGAGGCCTGGACAAACCGAGCGTCGCGGAGACTCGCGTCTGCCTGGCACCCGCCTGGCCACTTGCCTCGTCCGGGACTCAGCAGGAGCTGGCCTTGGGAGGCCCGGGGTGACGGGGACCTCAGCAATGGTGCTGCACGGCGAGGCGGGGTCCCTTCTGTCTCCCGCCCAGGGCAGGGGAAGTGCTTAGTATTAGCGCTGTTCTTGGGGGTGTCGGGGAGCTTGGGCTTGAGCTCGAAGGGGTGGCGATGCGACGGGTCTCGCCAGACCGACTGGGGAAAGTTACAACGCTTGTCCCTCTAATCAGCTCACTTGATTCCGCTACCCGAAGTGGTAAACCGGATGGGCGTCCCCCGAGTTCCACAGACATACACAGCCCCTTGGCCGAAGAGCCGAGCCCCCCGGTTACACCCTGCCGGCTATGGCGGGGGGCTGGCTCCCTTTTTTTCACCCGCAGGGGAGAGGGCGGCTTCCTCACTGCAGCCCCGCCGGAGAACTAACCAGAAAACTAGCATGGAAGCAGGTTCACATCCCTCTTCCCGCCCACCCCCCAACGGCCCCCAGCCCTGTGCTGTGGCTTTGGCTCTAGAAGGAAAACAAGACTCACTGAATGAAATATTTTACTACGTGCTCGGTGTGTGCCTCCTGCATGCCTGGGGGTGAGGGGGCCAAGACCCCCCGGCCTCTGCAAATGCTGTACCCCACCCCGGGTTTGTGGGGTTGCTGACATGCTCAGGACCCACCGGGCATTCTTTTACCTCAGAGCCCTCCCCACACTGAGGTTCAGAAGGAACCCCCAACCGGTAGGTGGGCGTTCTTCCCCCAGTAAAGCCAGCCAGGAAAAGCCTCGGGTTTGAAGCCTCTTTTATTTGTGCCTCAGAGTCAGTCCGGTGCCCCTGGCATCAGGGAAGGAGGTGAGAGGAACAGTTTCTCTTTGTTCTTTTTTTCCATCCCTTTTGTGTCCCTGCTGAGCCTCACTGGCTGAGCCAGGAAGGCCAGCCTGAGAGAAGGTGGACAAGGGTGTGCGGTGGGCCCCTGCCCCTAGCGGGGTCTGTGCTTCTCTGGGTGGGTGGGGTGGGGCAGGGCAGAGCCGGGGGTTAGCACCATTGGATGAAGGGTTTTAGAGTCAGCCCCTGGCTGGGGGCAGGTGGGACACACGACCACAGAGGGCTAGCAGCAGCTGGTGGGAAGGGGTGGGTGGTGGCGCAGGGCCCTGAGCTGGTGAGAGGGCTCCAGGGTGCACCTGCCCATAAAGCGGGGCCAGGGGACAGGGTCTAGTGCTCGCCCCCAGCCCAAATATTGTCCCCCATTTGCCAAGACATCATGAAGAAATCAGGCCTTGCCCAGGCCGGGGGGGGGGGGGGGGGGGGGGGGGGGGGGGGCACCTTGGACACCCTCCCTGATCGCAAAAGCGTGCCGTGGGCATGGGGACTCCAACCTCTGGCCGCCCAAGGAGAAACTGGGACCACCCTGAGACCCGGGAGGGGCGTGGGGGGGGCTGGGGAAGCCGGGCACCCCGCTAAGTGCACTTGACGCTGAAATGCCGGGGTGAAGGAGGAGCTGGGCCCTCGACGCGCTGGTTTGTGTCTGGGACAAAGCAGCAACACAGCACGTGGGGAGCTCAGCTGCCCCCCCTGGGGTGAAGAGCGGAGATGCAAAGGCTTCACGGACAGTGTCCTACACTGGGTTCTGTGAGCAGAAAAGGAGGACCGGCCAGAAGGAGCGAGGGAGGGGGGACACTGCTCCTCTAAGGACCCGCCTCCCCCTCAGGACGGCCTGGCCCCCTCGGACAAGTCTGCGCCCAGGATAGAGTGGTGGGCGTCAGGATACAGCAAAGCAGGGGGGGACCGGGCCGTGAGAGCTGCCTCCGGGGCCCTGGCCGGGACAGGTACCCCGCGACCTCGCCGAACCCCTGCCCGGCTGGTGCCAGGGGCGCCTCGCCGGCCCCGAGGCTGCGGCTCCAGTCTCCCGGCCGCGCCCGGCGGGCACGCGGGCCCGAGCGAGTCTGGCTCCGGGGCGGGGCGGGCGAGGCGGGGCCCAGGGGTCCTGCCGCGGGCGCTACTGCTCGGTCAGCGAGAGCCGCAGGATGCGCTCCAGCTCCTCCTCTTCCTGGCGCGCGCGCCGCCGCCGCTCCTCCTGCTCCTGCGCCGACAGCTCCATGGCCAGCCGCAGCTGCTCGTCGTAGCTCCGGAACACGTGGCCGCCCGGGCGCGGGCTGGGCCGAGGGCTGGGCACCGACGCCAGGGCCGCGGGGGGGGCGGGCTGGCGCTGCGGCGTGGGCGGGGCGCTCCTGGGGGCGGGTAAGATACGTCGAGGGTTCCGGGGGCGCGCCTGCCCGTAAGCGGGGCCGGGAGACTGCGTGGGGGCCCCAGGACAGAGGAGGCCTCGCCACCCTCCGCTGGAGCCGATGAGTCCTGCGTCACCTCCCTGGCTCCCACCCAGTTGTGACAGATCTCTGCCCCTACAAAGCCCATCCTCGCAGCTGACGGTGCACCAGCACGTGTGGGCATCTTCTAGAACGCCAGCCCTAACATCCTGCCCGGTAAGGGTCTGAAGGCCTTGAGGCTGCTTTTGGAGTGAGGAAAGGGTGGGGGTGGAAGCCTTCTGCAAAGGAGTAGGGGCCCTACGGAGAGTACCACGGTTTCCTGGGGCCACGAGGGGCCGCCCAGCCGTTGGTGTCCTCACCCACTGCGACAGCGTCCTGAGGGACTCCGTGCATGTGTTATTTCGGGGGAGGGGTGCTAGGTCAGGACAGGCGGGCACTGACCTGTCCTGTCGACGAGCCTCGTAGGACATGGGGTGAGTGCCCGGCTTGCTGTTGGTCAGCGCCTCCCAGATAGTGACCTGGAGGGAGGGGCGTGGCCGGTCGGCTCGGCGGCACGGCAGGCCGCAGTCCCGTGGGGCAGCGCGGCGGCGGGGACGCACCTGGTCATACTCGCTGCCCGCCTCAAGCAGGCTCTGCTGGATGGCGAACTGCAGCAGGTCGTCGTCGTCGTCGCGGGCCGCCGCCTCCCGCTGGCCGCCCAGCACACTGTAGCCGCGCGGGGCCTCGAACAACGCGGGGGAGATCTCGCAGCCGCGGCACGAGGCTGAGGACGCCAGGCTGGGGGTCAGGGCGTGGCCGCACGCACCCTCCGGCCTCCTGCCTGCGCAGGGAGCCGGCCAGTGCTCGGTGGGGAGGGACGTGCGGGCGGACACGCAGATGGGGAGGGCCTCACTGGTGGAACTGGAGCTGCTGACGCTGGAGGAGTCGCTGCCTGGGGACGGCGTCTCACTGCTGGGGCTGCCTCGCACCGACGGCACCGGCTCGTCGCAGCCATTGAGGTTCCCGAAGGTGATGCGAGCGTTGAGGATGTGGAAGATTGGGATTTCTGAGGATGAAGAAGCAGCGGGTGCCACCACCCACCTTCTCACACCTTGGCACCCCTCATCTTTACCTCATCTAAGCCCTACCCACCCCTCAACACACACACACACACACACACACACACACACACACACACACTAGCGGCTGAGAGGAAATGGGGCTGGGGTCTCACCAATCTTGACCGGGAAACCAGGCGGCAGGCGTAGGGTAATGAAATCCCGGAGCTTGGCGAAAAGCGCATTGCTGACAGCCATGAGGTCAATGATGGGGGCCACCTGCTCACACAGGGACAGGGGATGCTCCTCACACAGCCACAGCTTGGCCTTGAACCTGCCCCCCCAGATCCCAAGGGGTGAGGGGCATAGTAGAAGCCACAGCCTCCGAGTACCTTCTGGAAACCCCGCCCAGCCCTGCCCCACCCAGCCCTCCCCAGCACCATCAGGGGACCTCACTTCTGTGTCTTGGTGGTGAGTTCCATGGGGCGGCCCATGTCCCGGTTGCCAAGCTCAAAGTTGGGGTTGAAGTACTCTTCTGCAGTGATGGCAGTGGGGTTGGCTTGGCTCAGAGTCTGAGTGATCAGGGTCTGTATACCACATGAGGAGGTACCCGTGAGCCCTTCTCAGTCTCTGATGCCAGGCCAACCATTTGGGATCGTGGGCCCCAGAGCCATCCCCCCCAGCCACCCTGCAGCTGACATGGCCCTGGGCAGTGTGGAAAGTAGTTTCACACAGGCCGTGCTGGGCAGGACGCCTCCCAGGCTGCCTCCTGAGCCACATCCACACCCTTCCACACGAGGGCACCCCTGGCACACACTCACCCCATTCTGGGGGCCCCCATGCTGCTCAGCAATTCCCAGGAAGGACTGCAGAGGTGTCTTACAGCCTACAAGAAATGTGGCGTCTCAGAGGACACTGAACCCTCAGCCGTGCCAGCCCCCGAGACCTAGTGAGGAGGCTGGTTCCTGGCAGGTGGGGAGGACTGCTCAGCCACACCAAACACTTGGGCACCTGCATCTGAAGGTGACTGAGGACTCTAAGGGACAGGGACCAGGACCACATGCACAGCGGGAATAAAAATAGGCCTGGGGCTCTGGAGAAACTTCCAAAAGGGTCCACGTTGGTGACACTGGACAAGAAATACGTGCCTTTGGTGAGCAGTGCTGGGGTACGCATGTGTCTGTCTGTGTTTTCCTTCGGGCACTTCTGTCTTAATTACCTCATTTGGTTCTCCTGTCTTGCTACTCTAGAGAGACTCACTGATGCCCAAGAGTCAGGTGTGGTATCAAGAGGCACAGAGGATCAGTGGCAGGCCCCCTGACTTACTGCTTAGGGCCTGGTCCACTGGACGGGGATGGCCAATAAACTGCACACATGACGCTTCCACCCCAAATCCAATGCGGACATCAGTTACCAGCTGTAGTGTTCCCTCCCATTGAGCCCGAACGTTGCCTAGAATCTTCCTAGCTGCACTCCAGGCAGTCACTCTCAATTATCAGCACTCAGCACTTGAACTGAAATGTGTTTGCGTGAATAAACTACCCAGCTTTTGCTGGGATGTCATAGGGAGCACTGATGGAGGGACTCAAGTGGGCGCTGCTCCCTCATACCTCTCCCCATCCACCTCCGCTTCATTACCTTTGACCTTGCCCTTGTGCTGTTCTGAAAGATGCTCTGTCCGTGTCCGGGTGATGAGCTCCACATTGGATGCCCCATATACCTGGGGACAGATGAGGAAAGGGCTCAAAGACAATTCTGGTACCCTACCTCCTGCCCCCAAGGGCATTATGAACACTTTCTGCAAAGGAGGGGCCACTGGGGGACGGGGGAGCTGTTCGCTCCAATCTCCCAGCCTTTGGGCAAGTGAATATATGAAGTCATTCATCCATTCTCTTATTCATTCAACAAACATTTTGTGAGGAGCCTTTATGTGCCAGGCCCTGAGGCAGACATCAGGGGTACAGCGGTGAACGAGCACAACTGGAGACAATCCCCACCCTTTGGAGGTTCACACACTAGCTGAAGAGACAAGAAAAGGGACAGTTATAACATAGTGTGAGACCCACTCTGGTGGGGGGAGCACAGGGCTGTGGGAACCAAAAGCAGAGGCCTTAGCCCAGCCTAGCAGGCCGGGGAAGCCTTCCAGGAGGAAACCCCGCAGGGCCATTCTGTGCGCGTTAGCTCCTGCTTTCACCGGCGCCACCCTCGGGCCCCATGGGGGTGACAAGGGTCCCAGAGGGACCAACACAGTATCCTCAGGGGTAAAGGCCTGGCTTTGGAGTCAGGCAGCCAAGGTCTGAACCTCAGCTGGGCCACTGATAGCTGAGCGACCCCGTGCAGGTCATGTGACCACTCCAAGCCTGTTTCCTCATCAGAGAATGGGCCAATACCCTACCCCACAGTCGTGGTGAAGACTAAATGGGATACTGTGGGAAAGGCTCAATGAAATCTGTAAAACGGGAATAATAATAATAGCACCTTCCCAAATCTGCTGGGACTGAGTGCGTGCGCGTATTCATACGTCATGCAAATAAAACATGGGGACGGTGCCCTGAACGTGAATACAGTGAGTGCTCAGTAAACTGGCCGTCCTCATCAGCTGCCTCTGAGTCTCGTGCCCTCCCTCCACGCCGCGTTGCCTCTGCACCTCCAAGGCTGGGAGGGGGTGGTCGGGAAGCCCCCGCCCAGCCGGCTGTAGGCCAGAGTGGGTGGGCTCCGGGATCAGGGAGCGGCAGCCTCACCTTGGCTTCGTACCCGTTCACCATCTCGGTCTTCTCGCTGCGCCAGCCCAGGATGCCAGTCTTGTTCCTGGGGAAGCAGAGTGGTCCAGGTGAGGGGTCCCCCAGCAGGCTGGCTCGAGGCTACCAAGGCTGTGCCCACTCACCTCTCAAAGGAGATGTTCTTGGTGTCGAGCTGTGTGGTGACGACGGGCGCAGTGAGCCGGCTTAGCACCTGCTCCTCCGTGGGCTGGGCGGCCGCCAGCAGCAGGTCCCGGTCCTGCCCGGCCAGGGCCAGCGTCTCCGTGTACACCACGCGGCGGTCATGGTCAATCTCCATGACCACGGCGCTCGTATCTACCAGCCACAGAACAGCACAGGGGTGTTTGGCGGGGGCAGGCAAGTGGGTGTCCCCAGCCTTCCCACCTTGCCCCACCTCCTGCCTGCCTGACCTTGGCCCCTGAAGACGAAGCTGCGGTTCCCTCGCTGCCACGTCATGTGGTCAAAGCCCAAGAGCGTGGTATCGACCCGAAGGTTTTGCCCACTCTTCCACACTTTGTAGGTGTCGCTGGGACAGATCTTGGACACCAAGGGCACTAGGTAGAAGGGAAGATCAGAGGTGGCTTCAATTTGACTGGCCCACCCAACCTGGGCCACCCCGGGGCACGGGGGTCAGGGTCAGCGGTGTGGCCCGGAAAGGACGAGAGAACTCCCCAACTCCCCCCACGTGAATGTAAACCAGTCACTCCGACGTGAGCAACCTGAAGCCGGACATAGGCACGTCCCCGTCGCCAGCAAGTCCCTAGTAGCCACCATTTGTTAATTCACTTACTCAATCTTTCATCCCGTCTTCCAACAAATATTTATTAACCACCTACTGTGTACCAGGCACTATTCTAGTCACTGAGGATACAACATTGAACAAGACAAGACCCGTGCCCTCTGGGCGCTTACCTTCTAGCAAGGAGTGACAAGTAACAAACAAACGATCGGATCCTTACAAAGTGAAGGAAGTAATAATAATGGAATCCAGACAGTGTCTGAGGCAGCATGGAAAAGCTAGGCTAAGGGGGTGGCACTGAGCTGGGAACTCAAGGATGAGAAGGAGCCCTGGGAAGAGCACCATGCAGGAGAGCAGCAGGTGCAAAAGCCCTGGGGTGGGAGGATGCCCACAGAGGGCCCCCCTGCCCCGGCCCCCTTACCCCAGCTAGTGAACTCCCATTTCATCTCCACGTAGAAGTCCTGGGCCTGGAGAATGAGAAGGAGGGTACCTAAGTCTGTGCTAGACACAGGGCTCGAGGGTTGCGGTGGGGAGGCCGAGAGGCTGGCCCTCACCTTGCGAAGCTTCTCCAGGAGCACGGGGATGCCCGCCAACCGCTTCACCACCCGCTGGTAGTCCCGGTACCGTAGCACCAGCTGCACCAGCTCCAGGTCCCGGGTACTCACAGCCTCCTGAAGCACTGCGGGGCGGGGCGGGGGGGAGGCAACGTCAGGGCAGAACCCTCCCTGGGGGCCCCCGTCCGCTCACCCAGGGGGAAGGTTCGAAGCTGGGAGACCCTGGCTGTGGGGCTGGGGTGAGCAGGGGCGCCCACCTGTCCAGCCGCTGCGGTTCTCCCTGCCCACATCTGCCCCGTGTGCTAGGAGCACACGGGCACACTCAAGGTGTCCCAGTGTGGTGGCCAGGTGCAGGGGAGTCCGCCCGCGGGGATCCAGCTGCTCGATGTCCACCTGGAGAAGGAGGTGAAGATGTATCCCTGGTCACCACTGAGGCAGCCCATCTGAGCCCAACAGCCTCTAGGCAGGCAGGAGCCACCTGGCCGCCCTGCCTTGCCCACCTCACCAGGCAACGGAACAGAGACACAATGCGCAGGGTGCTGGGCAGGTGAAAAGAGGCCTGCAGGACAGGGCAGGAAGCAGCTCTGAGGAAGGAAGGCCCTTCCTCCTTTCCTGTCCACCTACGTCCCCTGACTGGGTTGACTCTTCCAAGGCTCCAAACTGGGCTGCCTGGGAAGAGTAAGTCTAGGGTTCAAGGGTGGTCTAGAGAGGCTGTTGGCCAAGGAGGGCACTTGAGGCAGGACCCAGCCTACAGGTCCAAGATCACACCTTCAGGAAGGGCTATCAATTTAGATCATTGACATTATCACTGAATGAGGCTTCACAGTTGCTATAACAGATTGATAGGAATGAAGGATATGTTCATGGTACCACTTCAAACCCACGTCCTTTGCCTGTGGAACACTATGTATTAACTTTTTTTTTTAATTTTTTTTTACAAATCCTATTACTGTTTTGTGAATAGCATGATTAATTGTATGAGATTTTTGTTGGGTGGTGAAAAACATGTCTGTTAAACATAAATATTTAAATATATTTCAGGGGGTGCCTGGGTGGCTCAGTTGTTAAAGCGTCTGCCTTCAGCTCAGGTCATGATCCCAGGGTGCTGGGATCGAGCCCCGCATCAGGCTCCCTGCTCCGCGGGAAGCCTGCTTCTCCCTCTCACACTCCCCCTGCTTGTGTTCCCTCTCTCTCTGTGTGTCAAATAAATAAATAAAATCTTTTAAATAAATAAATAAATTTCAGGAGCCTAAGGCCTCTAGCTAAATACAGTGAACTGACCACATACATGTAACTCCTCCTCTCCATCCCCAAACTTGATTAAAATGCCAGTCAAAAGGCTTCTACCGCAACCATGATGAGATAAGCTGAAATCATCCTCCCATAAACAAAGAAAACTACTGCTTCAAAATACATGAAATAATTGTTTTCAGATAGTAGGCAACAAGTAGCCCAGGACTGTGATCTCTGAAGTAAGAGAAACAAACAAGGTAGGCCCTATGATGGCTTAGATTTCTACATGGAGGAACATTCTAGACAGCAATTCAGGGAGGGGAATCTCTAGCAGAGCATGGTAGTCTTGCTGGGAGCTGGGGAGACAGAGAGAGGGGTTCAGGGAGGCTAAGGTAGCAAGAAGTTGCAGGACAGAGTTTCAGGAAGGAGTGAGCTGTGCAAAGAGCTCCAGAAATCTGCATGGGGTTCCTCCAAGCCTTTGCTGAATACTAAACTTGGCCTGTGTAGAGTGAAACTCGGCAACACTAGGTAGAAAAGGAGCAATAAGCTGGAAAATTCTCGAAATTCTCATGTCTCAGGGCAAGGAGACATTCAAGCTCCAACCTGCTAGAGTGGAGAGTCCTTGTTGCTTGCCCAGGGTATTCCACAGAGACCCAAGAATGGGTACGCCTTAGTAGTAGCGCTAAACTATCCTGAGAGAAAAGGCTTACCTAAATCCAATCTAATAAAGATTAAAAGTAATCTCACAAGGATCAAACTGGTTTACAAGTAACTTAGCTTAGTTGGTCAGAACAAAGCCTAACACTCTAAAGGAAGACAATAAAATCCAGATGCTTAATATGATAATATTTGCAATATTATTTGCAATAATACCCAGTTACAAACTACTAGAAAAAAATTACTAGACGTGCAAAGAAGTAGGAAAATATGACCCATAATTGGGAGATATTCAGAAATGATAAAGATGGGGCACCTTGGTGACACAGTCAGTTAAGTATCGGACTCTTAGTTTTAGCTCAGGCCATGATCTCAGGGTCGTGAGATCAAGCCCCCAGTCAGGATCCCCGCTCAGTGTGGAATCTGCTTGAGACTCTCTCTCCCTCTCCCTCTGCCCCTCCCACCCGTGTGCTCTCTCTCTCTCTCAAATAAATAAACCTTGAAAAAAAGAAATGATAAAGATGGTAAATGGCTCAGTGTGCTCATGAGTTTACAGAAACACATGAACACAATGTTCATGGGGAAAGAGTAAGAGATAAGTATAATTTCTGAAATGAAAAATTCATTGGATTAGACACTACAGAATAAAAAAATCAGTGAACTTGAAGATATAACAACAGAACACATAGAACAGAAATGGAGCACAGAGGAGGAAAAAGTACTGAAAAACATTCAGAGCCTCAACTATCTATGGGACACTATAAGGCATTCTAACATATGTGTGATTGGAGTCCCCAAAGGATAGGATAAGGAAGTAGGAGAAATAAGAAATTTAAAGAGATAACATTATCTCTTTAATATTTAAATTTGGGGGCACCTGGGTGGCTCAGTTGCTTAAGCGTCTGCCTTCGGCTCAGGTCATGATCCCAGGGTCCTGGGATTGAGTCCCACATCGGGCTCCCTGCTCAGTGGGGAGTCTGCTTCTCCCTCTGCCCCTACCCCCTGCTCATGCTCACTCATGCTCTCTCTCTCTTTCTCTCTCTCTCTCTCTTGCTCATGCTCTCTCCTGAATAAATAAAATCTTAAAAAATTGAAATTGAAATTGAAAGAGAACATTATCTTTTTAAAACTTAAAGAGAAATTTAAATTTAAATAGATAACATTAAACATTTTTCCGAATTTGTTTTTTTTTTTAAATTGCTATAGGGAGTTGAATGGTGGTACCCCCCCAAAATATATGTCTATACCCTAACCCCCAGAACCTGTGAATGTGATCTTCTTTGGAACATGGGTGGGGGTTTTTTTAAAGATTTTATTTATTTATTTGAGAGAGAGAGAGCGAGCGTGTGCATGCCTGTGCGTGAGGGGTGGGGTGGAAGGGCAGAGGAGGAGGGAGAGGGACAAGCAGACTGCACTGAGTGCATAGTCTGATGCAGGGCTCAGTCTCATGACCCTGAAATCATGACCTGAGCAGAAACCAAGAGCTGGATGATTAACTGACTGAGCCACCTAGGCACCCCGGAACATAGGTCTTTGCAGGTGAAATTAAGGATCTCAAGACAAGATCAGCCTGGATTTTTTTTTTATCTATTTGAGAGAGAGAAAGCGAGCACAAGGGCGCCTGGGTGGCTCAGTTCGTTAAGCGACTGCCTTCGGCTCAAGTCATGATCCCAGAGTCCTGGGATCGAGTCCCACATTGGGCTCCCAGCTCAGCGGGGAGCCTGCTTCTCCCTCTGATCCTCTCCCCTCTCATGCTGTTTCTCTCTCTCTCAAATAAATAAATAAAATCTTTAAAAGAAAAAAAAAAAGAAAGCGAGCACAAGCAGGGGGAGGGGCAGAGGGAGAGGGAGAAGCAGGCTCCTCACTGAGCAGGGAGCCAGATGCAGGACTCGATCCCAGGACCCTGGGATCATGACCCGGGCCGAAGGTAGCTGCTTAACCAACTGAGCCACCCAGGCACCCTGAGACCAGCCTGGATTATCCGGGTGGACCCTAAATCCAATGAGATGTCTTTATAAGACATACAAAGGAGAGATCCATGAAGAGAGAAGCTCTATGTAAAGAGACAGAGAATGAAATTATGCAACCACAAGCCAAGAAATGCTTGGAGACACCAGAAGCTGAAAGAGGCAAGGAAGGATTCTCCCCTGGAGCCTTTGGAAGGAGTGGGGCCCTGCTGACTCCTTGAGTTTGGACTTCCAACCTCCAAAACAATGAGGGAATAAAATTTTGTTGTTTTAACCCACCCATTCTGTGGTAATTTTTTGCACAAACTAACACAATGATAAACCCACAGAACCAAGAAACTCAATGAATCCCAAGCAAGGTAAACGCCAAGAAAACTACACTAAGGCCCATCATAATCAAGTGCTGAAAACTAGTGATAAAAACAAAATCTTAAAATTCTTTTGAGAAATGAGACACACTATGAAGAACACAGGAAATAATGAATACTTCTCAAGGGAAACGATGCAAGCTAGAAAACAATAGAATGAAATGTTTAAAGTGCTGGGGGGAAAAATGTTGACCTAGAATTCTTTTTTTTTTTTTTTAAAGATTTTATTTATTTGACAGAGAAAGATAGCGAGAGCAGGAAAACAAGCAGGGGGAGTCGGAGAGGGAGAAGCAGGCTTCCCGCAGAGCAGGGAGCCCGATGTGGGACTCGATCCCAGGAACCTGGGATCATGACCTGAGCCGAAGGCAGACGCTTAACGACTGAGCCACCCAGGCGCCCTTGACCTAGAATTCTATATTCTGTGAAAAATGAAGAGGAAATGAAGATTTTTGTGGACAAACAAAAAAAGCTAAGAGAATTTATCACCAGAAGACATGCAAGAAATGTTAAAGGAAGTTATTCAAGTGGAAGAAAAACGTTAACAGATGGAAACTTAGATCCATACAAAGGAATGAAGAGTGCCCCAAAAGGAAAATTTGTGAGTAAGTATAAGAATGTCAATAAAATATTTAAAACCCACAAGAGTAAAGAGAAAAGATGTTAGCAGATGAAAAATGTTAACGCATCTTTAGAACGTGGAAAGTGGCTGAGGCATTACAACTGACTTAGGGGAGCAGAGGGTACTAGAACCCAAGCATTCACAAAGGGGAACCCCAGCGAGTGTCAGGCCAGATCACCCTTGAAATGTCCAGAACATGCAGGCAGTGGGGATGGCAGAGGTGTAAGTGAGGCTCAGAGCTAAATACAGGGGAGCTGGTTAAAATTCAGAACCCCCGGCCCCCTCCCCAATCTTGAAAAGCTGGGAGACGCCCCCCTTCCCCTCCATAGGATGCCAGGAATTTATTCTCTGTAGAAACTGAGCCTGACATGCACTGGATTTGGGGACACTGGCCTGAGGATGAGGTCATGGGGCTAAAAAGTAGTGAACAGTGAAAGCTCAGTCCCTTCCCTGCCTCCACACCACTGCCCCATCCCACCCCTAGTAGGAGATTGGAGGATTCTTCTTTGGGGACACTAGAGGCACCAGAGACCTCTGGGTACAGATATT